GAAATCTTTAGCTTCCTGCGGTTGCTTCCAGTTTCATTAAGTTTAGTTTAGTTTTTAGTTTGTTGTTTATTTCATTTGTTTGATTTTATTTATAGTTTTAATTAAGCTAATTATTCATTAAATTTAGTTTTTTAAGTAACATACGGTTGCCTGTCAGCTTATCGTTCTACAATATCTGTCCAAATGCATGAGAGGCTATTGTGAATTTTAAGAATGGGGAAAGAGCCTCTCTTTCGTTGTTTTACTTTAATCTTCAATTTGCTACTTAGAGTCGATATTGGTTTGTAGCCTAGTTGCGCTTAGTTTTGTGTAGATCTCGTTTTCTGTTGATTGTATTCGTCATTTTTATCATCGCGCACAAATTTTTGGTTATTTAAATAACTATTTCCTATTATTTTCTGCTTTTATACGTTAAACTATCTAATTGATGTTTTTTTACCTGTGAGATGACCCAATCATAGAAGCCCTAGTAACACCGCTCCCGTAAGACAAAGTGATGGGGCGAGCGATATCGAAATACCTCGGTATATGATAATTTTGACCTCAACTTGTTTTCTATCTTGCTGGAAACATTATAAACAATTTTCTTTAAAACAATGGCATCCGATAAACGAAAAATGTGTAACCTGTAATTGCTCAAAGAGCCCGACAAATTGCATTTGGCGTAGAAGAAGAATGAAAAAAGTCAACGCCACTTTGGTGTGAAACTGAGGCTAAAAGATGCCAGCGGTTGGCCAGCCAACCGACTCGGTGGTAATTGTGAAAGAATTTCACCATGTTCTCTAGAACGTATAATTTTAGTCTGCATTGACAGTTTGAGGGATTTTTTATGGCCTTCTACTAAATTCATTCCCCTAAACAAGATATATTTTAGAGCAGGAAACGAACCTTTATTTTTGATTCTCCGAATTTTCGGAGGGTCACTATTAACGTTATTATTCTTAAAATTTAATTCCGATCCCGCTATTTATCTTGATTTAAATCGTGCGATATCTTCAGACGTTTTGCATCTGGGCTAGGAGTTCATAATATTTGCGAAAACATTTTATTAAAGGCTTTCCTTCTCATCCTTTAAGGTCTCGGGATAGTGAGTATAAGTTGCATCAATTGGCCAAATACTGTATCAGCATGGTGGAGCATCAAGAAATGGAACTAACCAAAGCTGAACAGTTCCCCGAAAACGCCATTACTGAACCCCTCATCATGCGTTCTCAAATACTAAGCACGTATAACAATGCTATGGAAACCGAAGAGCGAGTAGAGACGCTCATCTATGAGGAGGGTCTTCTTCGAGAGGAAAGAAAACTACTGAAACGTGATTTCTCTCGCCTGCCCACTGCCGAGGTATGTGCCTTTTGCAAATTCAAAACCTGACTAAACTTGCTTCATAACAGGTTTTCTTCTGAATCCGAAAGTCATAAAAAACACGGGGAGAGTTTTTTGTAGCTTTCCGATACAAATTTTAGGACGCAATGTTTAATTGGGATTACAGATCCTACCAGCTTCCAAAACATAGTTATGCTACTTGCTTAGAAGATATCCTGAACCTTTGCTTATAAGCAGTATTCTGTCATAATACCCTCGACATATCTTAATTCTTTGAAAATACCGGTTTTCTAAGACATGGTAATTTGTAAATATTTAAAGAATTTTGTAGCTGCCGTTCATGCAAGATATATAAAGGCCCTTAAGTGGACAGCATATATAAATACGAATTGTCACAATTCAGCAAGGTGAATCTTATTCCACACCTCAAGATTTATCTAAAATTAATGCAGTTTTTGACTAGGTCGATTTGCCAAATAAATTAAAATTTTATCGCCTTTTACAGATTTACTTTTGTGTCTTCAGGAGCAAACTGACTAAAACTGCGAAAATATTCCTTGTCGAGTCGTTTTACATCTTCCCACTAGAGATAACAGTTTTAACGTTGGGGGAAGTTCAGCGGACATACATGTATCTTTCATATGACCATGCTTTTGGTGACGTCATACCGTGTTATGCGACTATATAGTTAAAATCAGTTATTAACAGTTCCAAGGTATTTACTCCTAGTTGACGTTTTAGGGTATTAGCTTTAATTAATACTCACTTACCAATTAGTAAATATTAGCAAATTTAAGGCTAATTTGCCTAACTTCTCAGCTCGTTCTTTTTGTTTCATTGGCATAAAGATAACCTTTTCCAGGACGACAAAAAACCTTTTTTTAGTGTTTGAACAAATTACTCTCTTGTTTGCTTTTAGTTGGAAGCGTTGGGCGAGGATGTGGATATTTTTGCGGTAGGTTATTTTCTAGTTTTTTTGAAACCCATTTGCCACCCTTGTCCTAAATCCCCATTAGTAGTCTACAAGAGAAAGTTCCCGGCTTATTCTACGAACTTCTATTAGTTGTAACAAAAGTACATTTTGGCCTGTCTCTGCCATTCGTGGTGTCCACCGAAACGCATGAAAAAAATGACTTAGTGTCTGTAAAATGCATAGAAGTGTAAAGTGCTTTTAGACACGCCAACAAAAAAACAGTCCTAAGTCACTCAAAGTAACACTCTGGTTTCAAATTACTCACGGTATCATTCACTTGTCTAAGCTTCACCACAACAACTACTGTTCAAAAAAAGTTCTCTTTCCTGAAAGGGTTACGGAGGTCTCTAAAAATCAAAAGCATTCGCTGAAATGAATACAAAATAGTCCCCTTTTTCCTTCATTGGACATCAAGCTTTTGCCCTTAGTTTCATTCTAAAGAGAAGACATTATTTAGCCATAAGTGCGTCCGTAAATACTCGTATCTGCGAATACGAAATGTATATTACTCGAGTTATTTAAAATAAACAGATATATCTTCCGTACTCCTATGAAAAAGCTGCCCGGATTCTGAGAAAATATTTCAGAAGATACGGCCAATGGTACTGCTTTGCCGCCAGTGTTCAAAAAAAAAGAAATCGTCAAATGCATGATACATAATAAAGATATCTCAAAATGCCTATAATAACAAACGTAAAAAGCTTAACCATTCGCTCTTCATGTTATAAATTCTAAAAAAGATACGCTTTCCTTTAATATACAATGATTCCCTTTGCGCATTTATCGGGGAATACAGTTGATAAACCGATGCAGGAAACACGTGCAATACTTGAATGATGGCTCTTTACAAAGTGTGTTTTCGTGTGTGAATGGAACGGTACTCAAGCAACTACCAGCTGACTTTCAGGAAATCGGGTACTTGGGAGCAGATTTTATGAAAACTAACTTTCGCACCTCCTGTAGAAAATTCTATTCATCCGCAAATGTATCCAAAATCCCCGCCAAAGTTTTAAGACTTTGGTTGTTAAATGTAGTAAACCATATTATCTGAACAGGCGCTTTCAGTCTGGTTTAATGGCCAGAAATAAGTTTTTTGATCGTGCAGGGTATCGTAATTTGGTATAAAAATAATTCGACTAGGCTAAAATGATTAACTATTAGGAGGGTGTGGCAGGTTTGAATAATTCATTTGACCCAATTGTGAAAAAGCTCGCGAACTCGATTGGAGTCGAACCCACACTGCCGGGAAGACTTTTGCGCAGCCAACGCTCTACCACTGAGCCATGAGGTTCACTGTGAGCCGTTACTTTAATCACACTTGGGTCAATTTACGCGCCCAACCTCCTGCTTACATGGAAGCTACCACTATGGACGCATTAAGCGGGCTGCCCAGGCAGAATTTCCTAAGCAATCATCTGGAATGCACCTGCTGTGTGGGTTCAACTCCCGCTGAGTCTGCGAATTTTTCAAAATTGGTTCAACTGAATATTAGGAAAGATGTGATTCGCAAGTGGTAAGTCAAAGAAGGAAGTAGCATTCACCAGGAGGGGTGTATTGTGTTGACCACCTGTGGTTCCGCGTCTACCCACGCCTCGCCATCGTCGCTAAATGCTTCCGCGTCCAACGTCTTTAGTCGAAGCGACACCGCAGACGGTCAACGAGGGAGATGACGGCGACCCAAGGGAGAGTGAAATGCGAGTCAGACGCAGCGGAACAGCCTCTATTGGTAGGCTGCGCACATGGCAAAGAGCGGCATATCATGAGAACTGTGAGCCTGAATTTCCCTTCTCTGTGTGTGGGTAGAAGACACAGGTAGCCCAAACAGCAAACACGGAATAAACCGCTCCCGGTGAACACTCCTTCCTCTTGTGGTCTCTCATTATAGTTGAATATGTTTTCGAAACTGAGATTTCGTCAATATTGGTATAGTAAGTGTAGTTAAATAGACGTAAACAAGTGAGTAAGTGTATTTAAAAATAGTAAAACGAATTGTTAAGTTGATTATGAGAATGTAAGTGTTGTTTTATGCCGCCGTTTTTTCGGGAATCTGTACGTGCAAAGGTGCTTTTATCTTGCTCAAGGAGAATTATGAGCTGATTTTCTGTTTTCCGCTTATGCTATAATCGGTTGTCCATCGTGCTACTTTCATATTTGATTCCCTGAGATGGCACCTAGTCTGCCTCCCAGGTAACCATTTGTTTCCATGCATAAGAGATTCCTTAAGAAGAACTTTCGTACATTTTGTCATCCTCGTGTCCCTTATTTTGAACAAATTAGTTCGCTCTATACAGACCCTCACCTGACACCTAGTAGTTAACAGCATGCGTACTGTTTGCAACCGGTTGTTTGCAAACTGACAGTAGAACTTTAAGTAGACTTTCGTTGATGGAAGCTCGCCGATCGGTGGCAAGACTCACTCGTTCTGCTCTGTCCTCGGGCTTCCATTTCAGCCCCGTCAGTAGCCGTTCAGCGGCTTGATTAATGGGGGCGAAAGATGGTTAGAGCGTTCGACTTCTAACCACCTGGTCGCGAGGTCGGGACCCGTATGGTGCGCCACCTGTGGTTCAGTATAGTTGGCTGTTGACGGCTAGTAGGCCAGGAATTATCACTCCAGTCTCCTTTGTCTTTTTCGAAAATTTTCACCTATCTATTAAGTATACTTTCATCGTAGATGACGCAGGACGTGGCAAGGTGTAAGAAACCTCCACCCCCCTTCTCCCCGCACGAAAAGTGGTCTTACAGTTATTTCCAGGATGCATACACATTTCTATGTACCAACACTAACTCTAGCCCAAGCCTTAACCCTCACTTTCACATTAGCTCTTCTTTTAACCCCAGTTCTAAGGCTGCCTTAGGCTTAACTCCAATCTCACTGGAAGTTAGCGCAAGCTAAACCGCATTTTAAAACGTAAATAATTCCACCTCTTACCTGTCAAGGACTGTTTCTAAGGGTTAACTCGCGGAAACTAGTCGTCTGCCCTATACAGGCCAGGAGACTACGACGCAGTGTCCTTTTTACAATAGTAAGTTAAATAATAACGGGCCTACCAAACCCAGTCACGTGCTTTGCTTGCTGAATAAACTATATGGGCTATTAGCAGGACAATCAGCCTAGTTGGATGACGGCGAGCATATTAGTACTTCCGCTATGCTTTGAAGCTTCGCATCAAGAGCCGATACATTCGTTCGCATACCGAGGAGCAAAACTAACAGATAAGTATTGCTTATTACTGGTCGTGGATGCAAAAATAGGTAGTAAAGTACCAGTTCGGCTGACTTTCGAATAAATAATTACTAAAGGATTAATAGTCTCCATCCGGGAGGCAGTCTTGCTCACAGAATAGCAGAATGCAAACAAGGCAAAACGCTTTTGTGCAAACGAAACAGAAAACTATACGGCGTAGTTACGGTACGCTTATCTTCGTACTTTGAAAACATGCGGACTGACCTCGCTAATTTTCCACATCCCAAGTGAAACTGCCCTCACAGTCGGTACCAAAACCTTCAGTAATTAAAAATCAAGCATCATGAACAATATTCCTTTGTTTTCTTTTTCATCCGCATCGGAATTATCAACGCAGTTTATTCAAATACTTGGTACAAGCACCAAAACGTGAATTAATCAGTTGTGTGATATTGTAACATTCTACTTTCCCCACAGAAGCAAAGGAAGCACTGTATTGTAATGAAATAAGTTTTTGCCCTCTAGCTCCCTACAACAAGGTCCCATACTTTTATCCTTAAGCCCAGTTGCGATATTCATCTTAATTAACGGATGACATTTTCCAGCAATTGGGGCCAGGACTCTTAGGACGGGTTGTGCTCTCGTTTTTTGACCTGTGACACACGTTATATGAACTGTGTCACCGTGGTTAGAATGGACATCAGTCAAGTCAGCCACTTCTACTTATTTCTGATTGGCTTGACTTGAACTTCTTAAATGATTGACGAGGGAGGAAAGTTTAGTTGGCCCGGTGACAATCAGATAGATGGCCGCACTCAGAGAACAGGAAACACGAACTCATGTACTATAGAAATTGTCATAATAAGAGTTTATGGGCGGGTTAAACGAAAC